TGAAGTTGTCACATGTGGGAGTTTCTCCACTTTAAGCAGCTAGTAGCACCTGGCCAACTTTGTTTAGGATTGGAAGTCCTGGTCAGTACCTAGATGGAAAGCTGCTTGAGAATTCCAGGGATATGGACTAGGCCAGGGGTAGGCAACCTCGGCTCTTTTATGACTCATGGACTTCAACTCCCAGAATTCCTGAGTCAGCATAGCTGAAGTCCATGAGTCATAAAAGAGCCGAGATTGCCTATCCCTGGACTAGGCAATGACAAAACACTTCTGTACTGTTGCCAAAACATTTTATAGATCTATTCACTAGGAGTTAAGCTTGATTCAAAGGAATCATTTATAAAGCACAGCAGATTCTTACAAAAGCTTTTTAAAAATTTGGTGATTCATATCAGGCTGGAAAACTGTAAATATGCTTTGTCTACTTCCTATTGATCTGAAATAGAATTCTAGCCATTCTTTGAACATAAATTGACTAGATTTTTTGTTCTAATGAAAGGAATCCTACAGGGCAACTGTATATATACATAAGCTCCCTCTTCAGACTAGTGCCAGTTATGTATTATCTATCAATGTGGCAGACATAACAGGCAGACTTTGTTTTCATTATTAAATGTTTGCTTACATAGTTGGAAGATATCAAGCAAAAACCCGTTACCTTTCAGTGGGAATATCATTTAGAATCTCTGCAGTAGACTCTAAGGTCCATGTTTTCATGCTTTTTTAGAGGCTGCTAAAGAGATGGGGGATCCATATAAATCTCTAGCAGGATATTGTTTCAGAGGGCTAATTCCACAATAGAGAAAACCTACTTCCTGGGGCCCTATTAGATGGTATTGCTTCATTGACAGGACCCAGAGTGAGCTAACTGTATCATACTGTATAGGACAGGAAGAAATGATAGGAGACAAATGGACCCTCAAGTATTTAAGCTTAATGTCATGTAGTGTTTTAAAGGACAATGAGCAAGCCATAAATAGATGAAATCAGCAAAATTTTATTTGCTGTAGAGGGAAGTCTGGCAGGTACTCATCTTACTTATAATCCTAAAATATAGACAATTATATGTAAAAGCAAGATTTGATGTACTCCCATCTATAGTGTTATCAGGCAAGTTTGGGTTCAGCTCCAATGAATCAGGATCCATAGTGAACGTTAAGCATATCTTATATTGTACCTTTCATAGCAAGTCCTACGTTAAGTATATTTATACCTCTTTCTCCACAATTCCCAGATCACTTGGAGCAATGCTACACTTTTTTTTATTCCTGTCAAATGGGAAACATTACACATTACAGTGCCTCTTGACTTTACTTGTGCATTTTGGGATATGTCATGACAAAAAAGGACTGTATATTTGTGTTATAGCTATTAGAATATTATCATCATATAGGAGTAAAGTCTTCTGTTATAGTGCCCCATTTCAAATTTCCATTCCTTTTATTTATAATAATAATAATCATTATGTATTATAGTATAATATTTTTGTTATTGTTAATTAAAGTAAGCGGTAAGAAAGGGAGAGTTTTAAATTCATAAATCTATTAAAAATACACCGAACTTTGAAGCTGCAGTCCTGTGCATATTTACAAGGGAGTAAGACCCATGCAACACAATATCACTTTATATCTAAGTAAATATGCATAGTATGCATTGTGGAACTCTTTCCTCATTAAATGTTTAATTTTTTTTCTCGTTTGTTTTGCCCTTCATTTTCAAGCAATGCTGGTGAAAGAGTAAGCAAGTTCTTTGCACCTGGGCAGTTCTTTCAGCATCTGGCAGACACTGATTTTTAAATTTGTTTTCTAGGTTCAGTTTTAAAAGAAAATTAGAAGCAGCAAATGGGTGGAAATGTATTTGTAGCCACAATGAACACACAGGGGTTTTTTTTTACATTCAGTAAATAAACAGCTTGATTAATCGTTAATACATCTGATAACACTATATTCCACAATACTGTGGAATTTCCTCCATATATTTTAAATCCAATAATAATTTGGGGACAGATGTTAAAACCTCCCCATAGGACTTTGTTTACTGATATGCCAAGTCACACTGGTCCTGTAAAGTCTCCTCACCATGCGTGTGTGCTGTACATATATAGGCAGCTTCTGCTAATGGTCTTCTCAAAATCTTACCTATTTTTCACCTCTAAAGTGATGATTTGGCACCAACATATGGATTTAACAGTTGAAAGGAAAATGAGAACAGGTTCACAATATTCTGCAATGAAATAATGTATTGCTCTAAAGCAGCAGTCCCCAACTTTTATGGCTTGGCCCAGCAGGTGGGGGGAAGAGGGGAACTGACAAATGCAAGCTTACGTGGCCACTTCCGAACCAGCCATGGCCCAGTAGCTGGCCACCGCCTGGGGGGTTGGGGACCCCTGCTCTAAAGTCAAGTCTTAGTATCCCCATAGAAAAATTAGTATTATAAACTAGATTAATATGACAATTCCACTTTCAAGAGGTAACAAGAATTTCTATGTTCAAATAAAGATTTGTCTTTTTAATTGTTATATGAGATATTGGATTTTTAAATATCAGGAGACTTGTGAACTAGAGGTGTAGAATCCCTTTCCTGATTCATTTTTTTCTTTTTCTGAACAGTCATTCCCCGCTGGCCTCCTAATAATAGTTTTCATTCTTTCTCAGTCGATCTCATATATATATTGGAGCCAAGTTGGAAGACAGATAAATGATAGATGGATGATAGACAGACAGACAGACAGACAGACTGACTGACTGACTCAGATACATTCACATACATGCATGCATGCATGCATACATACATACATACATACATACATACATACATACATACGTTGGGAATAGAATAATCATGTTCACTCATTTTGTTAAACCTATTTAAATCATAGTTTGTAAAATAAACCAAATATATTAAACCGAATAAATCACATTATGGATTGCCAATGCATTTAGTTACCTAATTTAATTTAGATACCCCTCTCCCCTGGAAAATCTGGTTTTATTTTGTAGGCTTTAGGTTATTGTTACTCTATTCCCCATTCTGAAAGATAACTGATAATTTGATATGCACTGCAGCAGCAATACGAAACACAGTTTTATGATAGTTTTCATTCATTCCAGTTTTGTGTGTCTGTGTATATCACATAAATGAATTAAAGTTGGTGAGAGACAAAAGTATAATTTCCACAAATGGAAAATTCAGTGGAAGCTGTAGGAATATAACCAGCAGTTAATAAACAGCAGTCTCTTAACAGTATTAGTGCCCTTATGCTTTTCCCAAACTTGTTTAATTCCTTATTAAGTTCCTATTTTTGATAGGTGGGAAACCACTCTGGTTCAATGGTTTTGCTTTTTCATTTTAGACATATAGAGATGACTCTAATAATAGCTATTTCTCCATTTTGTAATAAATTGTATCCTGTATGTACATATAAATTTATATACCGTAGGGTTTCTGTGGAAGAGCTTTGTTATAATAGATAGTGAGATGGATAGCATATAAATTTAACAAATAAATAAAGGCTTCCCATTTGGCTTCTTTCAACAATATTATATACTCTTTTCTCATCTTTGTTATTTAGTAGAAACATAACTACTCATAAGAAAGATTATTTAAGTTTTTACTTTCATGATTAATCTACAAAGGGCAATAAGATATACATTTGGAGAAATTTTATTTTTCAAAATCTTTGATTCAGTGGAAATTTATCAATGGTAGGTGTTCACTTTATACATAATCAACAGCCATGGTCACATATCATGTAAGCCACAGTAATGGTTGATATAAACATGTTCCAAATAATCAAATTGTAGTTGTCTCCTGTCTCTAAACCACACGTTTCAAAACCTTGTCTATCAGGTTTAGTAAGTGTGTTGTGTGCTAACTATAAGAATAAGATAGGCAAGACAGGACTAGGGAAAACCATTATGTCAATTTAGATCATGTCTTCCAAAGCCCTTTAAGAGAATGGCTAAGGGTAAGAAAATTGAGAGAAGAATTAAGAGCCGAGGTGGCGCAGCAGTTAGAGTGCAGTACTGCAGGCCACTTTAGCTGACTGTGTTCAGCAGGTCAGTGGTTCAAATCTCACCGGCTCAAGGTTGACTCAGCCTTCCATCCTTCCGAGGTGGGTAAAATGAGGACCCAGATTCTTGGGGGCAATGTAAATATATATATACATTGCTTACTGGTGTACACCGCTTAGAGAGTGCTTGCACTTAAAGCGGTATATAAGTCTCATAAATAAATAAATAAATAAATAAGAAACCTAGAATTTAACTAATAGAACATGAATTTATGTGTAGAATTTAACTTTAGGTTCACTCTTTTCTGGAATAAAAAGACTATTTTGCTGAGTCATGTCCATAAGCCTTCTGATGAATTGCTCAATAAAGGATTAAATGTCCAGATAGCCAAGTTTTCAGCTATGACTGGTGTGAAGCCTATATATATCTAGCCAAGCAGTATTAGAGGCAGTTGGATGCAAACAGTGCATTTATGACACATTCACATTTACTGTGTGTCTTAGCTTGACATCCAAATGAAACATTTATTTTATTTATTTATAAAATGTATTGGCTACCTATTTTACCGCAGGGTAACTCTGGGTGGCTTACAATAATAAAATACCCGTATTTTCCAGCGTATAAGATGACTGGGCGTATAAGACGACCCCCGACTTTTGAGAAGATTTTCATAGTTTAAGTCATCTTATACGCGGAAAAATACGGTATTTTCCGGGGTATAAGACGACTGGGCGTATAAGACGACCCCCGACTTTTGAGAAGATTTTCATGGTTTAGAAAGTCGTCTTATACGCCAGAAAATACAGTAAGTTAATACAAGCCAAACACTACAATCCAATTAAAGATGGGGAGGTCGGGACCAGGATGGGAGGGAGGTGAAAAGTATTCTTAATTAATTGACTGGGCAATAAGGAAATCTAGGGAAAGGCATATTTAATATTTTATAGAATAATCCTCTTTTTTCTTTTATTATTACATTTTGTTCAGCTCGACCTTACCAAACGAATAGAAGATCAGGGCCCATTAGATGTGATCATACATAAACTGACAGATGTCCTAATTGAAGCTGACCAAAATGACAGCCAGTCATTGGAGTTGGTTCACAGGTTCCAGGTGAGTAGTATTTATTATATGCAATTATCAGCTGCATAAATCTCTTCAATCCCTCTGCAAACAATTCTTTTAGGCCACAATTGAGAATTGCCTAAAAATATTTGCTGTAAAGAAACAGCATATGGAACATGTTCTTGGCCATAACGGTGAAGGAACTATCATAGCTTAATCTTCCTTTCCTGACAAACTTCATGTTTCCTTAGGTTAAAAAACACATTTCTCAAAAACAATGAAAAAGTATGACATGAATAAAAAACATGCAAAGAGGTAAAAATCACACACTGAAAACTACCGTGTTCCTGTCTGCAGTATAATTTTGTATATGGTAGCATTGTTGTGTAGAGTAAATGCCTTGGTCAAACAATTTTGTTCAAGTTTCAGATGGGAAATGTATTCTCTCCAAGCAAAAATACATATTAAGTTCAATAAAAGCATACTACCAAAATCCATTATTTCTGTAAGTTATAATATTATGTTATTATTATCCGTGGCTAATATCTGGCAACATGCATAATCTGAAAGACATCTCAATGTAAGGAAAATGTTACTGTCTGAAGAGGCACAATGCTGGCAGTGGCCAGGAGAGCCTTTTGTCCGTTCAGGTATATTCATCGACACCCAAAATTGAACTTAGACAGGTCAAAGATGTGACTACTTAGATATTTAAGGAGTTAGACACTCAGTGCATTATCAAACACAACTTTATATTGGTTGAATTGGTTATCAATTCAGATTGCTTGTGTTAGTCTTAAATTTATAAATAATTTGGAACCTATTATCTTAACGTCCACATTCATTTCTATGACATTGCAGATACATTAATTTCTTTTTCAGTATCTGCTAATAAAATCTATTATACAAGGAACAAAATTGTCTTGACCCAACATTTCTGGAATTCATTTGCAGTTGATTTATCTCCTTACATAAGCAATTTTAAAAAGATCTTCAACACTCCTTGCTTCATTGCTGTCATTTCTTAAGGGTTTATATGGCATGTGTGAGTCATAGAATTTTTATCTCATAATTTCTGATATATCCAACATACCTTATCTCATTCTTCTTGTATGGACTTTAGTCCTTGGCTCAGAAACGTTAGGGTAATATTGTGAGAGCATGGCTGTAAAACTGTCTTGAATAAATAAGATATAAAATGAGTAGTTCTTCCCTTAAAACTAACAATAATAATCATGAAGTTATACTGTCTAAGCAAAAGAAAAATTAACTAGGCCAGGCAATTAAAAACATGAGTTACTTATCTTTAAACACAAAATGCAGATATGACTAGTTCCTTGCAATTCTTTTAAGAGGCACAGTTTGTACAAATAATGTATGACCTAGATTGAATGCTCTGGCAAATTTTGTTCTGTGTTACTGATATTTTTTCTTTTTGGACCATATTGTGGAGACACACTTCAAGGTGAAATGTACTTAAATGAAGAACTATTCCAAGTAATATCCACAATTGTAATATTTTATGAATAGTCAGTAAAATAGCTATTCATAGATGTTCTGGTTTGATTTTCAAAGTAGATTTCTCTGTGGCATTGTGTGACATGTTTGGATAACCCCTGGGCTCATTATTAATAAATTAAATTATATTTTGATTATTTCATATGAATTAATAAAATAGTGTTTCCATCCTATTTTTTTAAGAGTTAACATCTTCATTGTTCTAAAACTCACCATTAGACTTTGGAATCCTAAGGAAATGAGGAGCCTGTTAAATGTATATAGTTAGACTACATTTTCTCATCTTTTTGTTATTGTATATTTTTAATTTGTTTTTAGTTATTTTAATTGATTTTAATGATGGAAGGCTACAGTATTATGATAGTGATGGGCAAAGGAAAATAGGGGAGATGGAGTTGGGCACTCTTGGGCAACACAGGACCGTTGTCTTATGCCAGTTTTGCATTCCAGTTCCTTGGTCTCAACTGCAGTACCTTTTCAGCAGACCTGCAATGGCCCTGGCTTTCAGCTGCTACTATTGAATTCTAGATCATTTTGTAATAAAGCCTCATTCATTAGTGATTTAATGGAGAGGGGCGGCCTGACATATATCACCATTTCTGGAACAGGGGATTGCTCTTTTGGAGATATGCCCACCTGGGTGTGGCATTCGCCAAGACTCCAGGGCAGGGGTGGTGTTGTGGTTGTTGTCATGCAGGAGTCTCTTAGGACTTTCTGGAATGCTGCACCACCGGTCCCCAAATGTGAGGTCCTGTTCATTAATGGTTTTTAAGGATCAGTTGGAATTCTTGCTGTTGTACAATCCTCTCTGCTGCATAGCAACCTCTCTGTCTGAACTCCATTTCTCAGTTGGCAGTGAAGTTCCCCACACTTGGTTCTGGGGAGCTTTAATCTGCCTTCTCTGGAAATGGGGTCTGAATTGTCTTGAGAGTTCATGGCCATCATAATCACCATGGGCCTATCCCAGATCATCCAGAGCCTAATATAGGACAGAGAGGGCAAAACAGATCTGTTGTTCCTCCCAGAGCAGTGGCTATATGATCTGAATTGGGGGAGATCTTGGTGTCTCTTGTCATGGTCATACCATGCTCTGATTTCCATGGGATTCTGCAATGCAAGTACTCGCTACATGGAGGCTAGACTCATTAGATTAGTCCAGTCTTGGTGACTGATGGACCTGGATGGGTTCCAGAAGGAATTGGAGGTTGTTCTTGCTAGTTTGCTGCATGGTTGTAATGGAATGTGTGGGTAACCTTGGAGGATTCAGTAAGAGATGTTGCCTAGGAAACAATCAGACGAGAGGGGAAGCCTCCAGTAAATTAAATGTTGGAGGAAGAAAGTTAGGAAGTACTCATCCTAATTAAATGGGCTGATAAATGTAATGGCAGGATAGTTGTCCCAAAAGTGTTTTTTTCGAAAGGCAACTGGACTTTGTTTTTCCTTGAAGATGTTTCACTTCTCATCCAAGAAGCTTCTTCAGTTATGACTGAATGGTGGTAGATGGAAGGATTTATGTTCTTTGAAGTCATCTGGTCGTTAACATTCTGAAAGTCATTGAGGCCACTTGGAGGTTTAACTGTACCCTCAGGTTCACCTGAATATTGCAAATGGGTGTGGACCCTTCTTGGAATTCCTGAAAGGACTGTGTTGCAAACAGGAGATAAGTGATGTTGTATTCTTCTCCTCTTTTGAGAGACAGCTGTTAAATCTTAATGTAGATGGCCTCTTTGACCCCTCTTTCAAACCAGTGGTCCTCACTGTCCAGAATGTGGACTTTCGCTGTCTTCAAAAGAGTGACCTTTGTCTTTCAAATGCAAATGGATTGCTGAATCTTGTCCTGATGGGTTTGTTCTCCTGTGTTGTTCCATGTGATTGTGAAGTGGTTGTTTTGTTTCTCTAGGGTATGATCTGCACATGTCTCACTGCATTGTACTTCATATATCACATTGCTAAGTTTGTGTCTCAGTATTTTATCCTTGGGATAGACAAGTCTTTGCCTTAGTGTAATTTTGTGTTTAAAGTGTTTATATATATTGAGTTCGTTCAAAATCCTCCTGAGCTTTTCAGATATTCTTGCAAAGTATGGAATGACATTGCTTCATTTATTATTCTCTGTTATGAAGGAATTCCTGCTGGGTCTATTTTTGGATTTGATAAAGGTCCAATTGGGATAGCCAAAGGGCTTCCTTGATGTATTTTAGTTCTTTCTCTTTTCCATCTTTCCTGGTAGGCAGCCTTTCAGCCTGATGGTATAGGGTTCTGATCACTCCCATTTTATGTTCCAGTGGGTGGTGAGAATCAAAATGTGGAGGGTTTCTGTTTATTTCAGTATTAAGGATTCTGTCTTCCTTAATGTGTACTAAACAGTCCAGGAAGGCCAGACTATTTTCCTTAACATCTTCCTGAGTGAACTTAACATATCTGTCCACAGAGTTGATGTGTTTGGTGAAGGCTTCCAATTTCTGTGTTTTAATCTTGTCCCAAGTATTGTCCATATACTTATAACAGTGAGCGGATGGAATTCCTGTGAAGGAGTTTAGGTCTTTGATTTTTACCTCTTCTATGTAGAAATTGGCCACAATGGGGGACACAGGTGAACCCATGGCACAGCCATAATTTGTCTTTAGAAACCTTTTTTTTTTTTTGCTGGAAATCAGCAAAAGGTTGCAAATCAGAATCACATGACTGCAGCTGGTCATAAAGTGCCCAGATTGTGATCATGTGTCCACAGAGGTGGTGCTATAGTTGTGTGAGTACAGGTCAGTCACTTTTTCCAAACCATCATAACCTTGAAACATGTATAAATGAATGATGGTAACAATCTACTTTTATTATACTGATAGTCTTTGGTTAGCGACTGCCCTGTTTAGCAGTGTCCAAACTTATAACAGCACTGAAAAATAGATTCATGACCAGTCCTTGAATTTACGACCATTGCAGCATTCCTGCAGTGAAGTGATTGCAAATCAAGGACTGGGAAACTGGTGCATATTTATGATGCTTACAGGGTCGCTATTTGTGAGATTTACAGCCAGCTTCCAACAAGCAAAGTCATTGGGAAGTTAATAGTAAGACACAAGACTCAATCATGTGACATCATGCTTAACAACCCAACAGAACACACACACACACACACACCAAGTGTACACATACATGTTCTTCATCCTGATGGAAATCATAATGCCAAGTTGATTATAATAACTTACACTGCACTAGATTTTGCAGCTAAGCAAAAATAAATAATTCACAGTTCAGTCATTAGATTGGACAGATTTCACAACTGATGGAGGGGGGGAAAGGATATAGGGATGGTGAACACAGAGAAAAGTTGCTATTTGGTTGCATGAGAAAAAGTGTATACAGATTATGAATTTCAATTATTGCTTGTTAATAGTGAAAAAATTTGAAATGTTAATTTGAAAAAAAATCTCAGACAATTACTGCCTGTCCTCAGCTTTGAGAAGGCAACAAAAGATACCCCTGGAGTTTAGCCAATAGTAGAACATATGACTGAATTTGTATTATAATTA